TCTTCAACTCCATCTGGCGCGTGACGGGTGTCAGCCCAGATCGATATGAGCTTGTGCTTTGCGTTGATGCGGATACCAAGGTGTTCCCGGATTCGTTGACTCGCATGGTGTCATGCATGGTTGTGGACGTTGAGATTATGGGTCTGTGCGGAGAGACAAAGATTGCAAATAAAGCGGATAATTTCGTGACGATGATGCAGGGTACGATTCGTCTGTTGGTGTCTGTAGAAACCTAACCCTAATTTTTGCCTCGCAGTCTTCGAGTACTACATCTCACATCACATGACTAAGGCGTTCGAAGCCATGTTCGGTGGTGTTACATGTTTGCCCGGTTGTTTCAGTATGTACCGGATCAAGGCTCCCAAGGGTGACACTGGGTACTGGGTTCCTGTCCTGGCAAACCCTGACATCGTGGAACGGTACTCAGAGAACGTTGTTGACACTTTGCACAAGAAGAACCTGTTACTCCTCGGAGAAGATCGATACCTCACAACCCTCCTGCTCAAGACATTCCCGCGGCGCAAGAACATGTTCTGTCCCCAGGCCGTCTGCAAGACCATCGTCCCTGACACCTTCCACGTTCTGCTCTCCCAACGTCGTCGGTGGATTAATTCAACGATCCATAATCTGTTTGAGCTCGTTCTTGTCCGTGATCTTTGCGGAACGTTCTGTTTCTCGATGCAGTTCGTCGTGGGTATGGAGCTTATGGGAACGCTTGTTCTGCCCGCCGCTATTAGTTTCACTCTCTACCTCATCATTATCTCCATCATCCCCGGCGGTGCCAACACTACCATCCCTCTCGTACTGCTTGCTATCGTCCTTGGTTTACCCGGTCTCCTCATTGTCGTAACGTCACGCAAGGTCGCTTATGTCGGATGGATGATCGTGTATTTAATTTCCTTGCCCATATGGAACGGTCTCCTCCCTGCCTATGCGTTCTGGCACTTTGATGACTTCTCATGGGGTCAGACGCGGCAAGTTGCAGGTGATAAGGGTGGCAACCATGGTGATAAGGAGGGAGAATTTGACTCTTCGCATATCGTCATGAAGCGCTGGGCTGAGTTCGAGCGTGATAGGCGGTGGAAGAATGGGGTACAATCTCGTGATTCAACTTTGTGAGTCTTGTGATTGGTGGCGTGCTCCGTTTCTTATCGCTGACTTCTATTTCAGCAACAATCGGTACTCGATGGCATCAAACTCTGATGTTAATCATAATGGTGGTGTTGACTCATCGACGACAGAGTCTACGCCCAGTGTGCCGTACGCATCTGGTACTCGGTCGAGACACGACAGTAACGGCCTTCTTACACTCCCTACACCACTTTCCGTCAGTAAGAATCCCACCTCTGTAACACCAACCTCGTCGGCCGCTATGTCACGCTCTAGCGAGGATGTTGTTTATTCAGATGGCGGCTCCACCTCTAATCAACGACTTGTTTCCTCCCAGCAAGACCAATACGTCGACTCGTATACTGAATCTCCGACGCCGCGGTACCCCCAGTTTGATGCTCACGTTGCCCGGGCAGGGGGTGTTCTTCGCAATCAGACCATATCCAGCCAATACCCTGGAGAGACCCAGAACCCATTCCGCTCTGAACCACATGTGGCTACGTATGATGACCAGTATGGTGGCTATAGTGCCGAACCAGAAGATATGTCACCGCCACCTGTGCCCAGCAAATATCAACAAGGGGGCCGTGGAGTCAGCTTGTCTGACAATGGACCTGTTCCTGGGCCCGAGGGTGTCCGCAGGGTAGCGAGACCAGCAGTCCGCCGGTCCACATCACAGGCGCCTCAGAACCGATACTCTCGTTCATCAACGTTTAATCTGCCACCTGGAGCAGCGCCTCCACATCCAGGAGGATATGGAAGCGGATATTAAAGATACATTCTATTTTTGATTTCATGTGACATTCTTCGAGATCAGGTTCCAAACTTTTGGCTGGCCAGTGAATTTAAGAATGCTCTTCGTTTGCTCTCTTTGGACTACACGTGTTTTATTGTGATACCTTACGACCTTTTCATTCTTCCAGTCTTTCCTTGACTTTATCTTAACATGCGCAGTTGATCTGGACAGTATCACGAAACGCAATATCTCTGTAATATTTCAACTTGGATGCATAAGCTATCGTTCAGATTTGTTACATGCATCGTCCACTCCTTATAGATACTAGAGGACTTCTTGTAGCAAAAAAGCAAAAAAAAGCCGAGTCTTGAATACAATGTGCAGCCCAGGGTTTATTGTGGAAGTATTTGGTTTGCACAAACAAGGGAGGTCGTGGTAGCCTTGAGGCGCTGGGGAAAGTTGATGTTCAGAATCCCTGAGCAGTCTTCACAACATTTCCCTCATCATCACTGTTGACCATCATGGCAGCGGTATCGATATCCTCCTCACCAATCACACAGGTATCCCAGCATGCGCCCGTGAATACCAGCCTTCAGCCTCAGTTACTTACTAGGCTGCTCCTCGACCTCCGAGGCAGACGTTTCTCGGTTGACAGAGAAACCATTATGAATCTCCCCGAATCGGTTCTCCTGTGTCTCTTTCCAAACGGACTCGTTCTGAGTCGTCAGAGCCAAGCATTCTCAGATGGCGGGGACAATGAAGAGGACGACGAGGTGTACGGCGTCGATGTAAGCGGCTACTGAACAATTCACGTGGTTCAGGTTTGCTGACGCGCCGCAGTTTGACCCAGAATGCTTTGCATACGTGCTTGATTTCTTCAGAAACGCATCAGACACGTTCTATGGAACCAATACTTCGCCTGGTCTGTTCGCGGCACAGCAGCATCTGCTTGACGGGTCACCTTCAGATTTTGGTCCCTCTGTATCACAGAATCCACTCCTTACCAAGCAGGCTATCATCGTGCTTCGCGAGGAACTGGAATACTTTGCTATACCGCCAAAAGAAGGAAAGGCTCTGACTGATGAACATGGCACCGCCAACCAGGCGCTTCTTGATATCAAGCACAAGTGTGGACAAAATGTTATGGAAAAGCGTAATATCTTTACTGCGCTCCAACGAAACGTTCACAAGGAGAACAATATCGCTGAACAACATCTTATTGATATGTTGTGCATGAGGTAAGGCTGCTGGTGGTTGTCTGTGGTGTTACTGACAGCGTCCATAGTGGATTTAACCGAGACGACGAATGGGGTTTCCGTGCCATGGAGCCCTCGCGGTGTTGTATTTCTTCAATCGCTCTTGTATTACTCAAGACGGGCATCGTACATCATCCTCCAGGACAAAATAGCGAGCGACCGGTCACTATTGACTACAATCAAATGGCTACAGCACAGAAGTTGTTATTGTTCTGGAGAAAACCAGCGGTAAGTTTGCTCCAAATATGCGTGGGACAGTTGTTCATGCGTTGGTCATCCTAGCGCAAGTGCTGGTGGGACGGCCTTGAGGTCGATCTAGCTGTGCCAGGAGAGCCACCTATTCCTGTGAAACTATGGGCAAGGCGAGTATGGACCCTCGAGCTTAGCTTAGTATGTGCCGTCCTTTTCTCACGCTCAATCTTTCTGATTATTCCTTCAGGTCTAGCTGTGATGGAGATTGGAACTTTTGGACAGACTCGTTTCTCCTGCGACCCTTCCTTACGCATATCATCGTCCCCCCCTGATATCGCATTGATACCCACCACGATTCTTCCTGCTGCAACCATTAATTATTGCCACACACACGCCTTGACGACATTTGCTAACATAACGTATCGGAGACTTTGACTGAACTACTATAACTGGAGGCCAAGCCCTGGCCATTGAGTGACAGAAAGGAGTTGATCACGACCTATCCGAAACGGTACTGCACATGATCACGGTAAATTAATGCTCATACTATTTGGTTTCCATGCTCATAAAGTGGAGCGAGAAGACAACCCGCTATTAATCGCATTGCACCGGTGCCGATGGGTTTAAATTGAGTTTGTTCGAAATAATCACATCAGATTACAAAATTTAGTCCCTATGGATGTAAGCACGCTGGCTTACTAGAGTTCCCATAATCTCTGTCCGAGATACTAGAACACAAACTTTCAGTATCACTGCCTTTTGGCAAGCAGACGACAGTAAGATTTAAAGTTACGATCGTGATGGATTTGGTCAATGGCAAGCCGATATGGGAAGCTTAGTATAAAAGCGGAAGTAAGGTGGCATGGGCATCGTTCTTTCGTTCTGACCTACACGCGGGATATGAGCTTTACATCTGGCTCACCAAGCTTTTGGCCAGCTACCGGATGTGATGACCTTCACTTTAGATTCATTGGTGGGTCTCTGGCCTCCTTTGTTCAGGTTCTTAGAGTTGATTCGCGCACAGTGGCTTCTACAACGATCATCTCTACGACTATGGTATCTGACCAGTTATATCACAAGTTAATGCAAGCATGCTCAAATGTGGTCTCTGTCAGGCCTCGTTTTCACTCGTGAAGTATGTTATGCGATCTTTCGAAAACCGTTATTTCCACCTTTTAACTGCTTCGTTTCGACTAGGTAGAGCTGATATGGGCGAGGAATTCAAACCAATGTACTTATCGTCTGACTTATACCAACACTCCGTAGTGCCAACGCTGGAGGCTAACGACAGTTCTATATATCATTGTGAGTTGCCCTCTGAAACATCGTGCTATGTGGCCTGACAATATTGTTTAGGCACGTTACTTGGGTCTTGCGATTGCGATGTAAGTTTAAAATAGAGGACGCGGATCTGTTGACTGAGAACTGTGTTTCAGGATTCAGATATGTACGTATTTTTTTTGTGGAATTCTGCTTTCAAACCAACTCGTGTTTTGTTTCGATTTGTAGTAGGGGGGCCAGGCATCTTGTTGAGTGATACGGTGAAGCCTCTTAAGTTACTTGCAGGAATACATCTTTGACTAACTGATCAAGCACAGAAGTACGTTCCACCAGCTACTAACTTGCTGCAGTCCATGTGCTAATGTCGGCTCTAGGCGTGAGTCTACGAGCTACACATGTGCGGCAATCCCTTTAATTCCTGATAGGTGGCATCGTTGGCGGATCACGGTCATGGGGAATGGTTGCCCTCGCGTGCACGATGTATGGTCCGTCCCATGATGTGATCAAATGAATGTGGACTATTATTAATGTTTCAAAATCAATCGTAGCAATCATGTCAATCCGTGTTTTTGCCATGTATCACCGATCCATGCGGATGAGGATATTCCTTATTATCTGCTTTCTGGTCACTAGTGCTTTCCGAGGAGTAACCGATGGCTTAGCATGCAAGTCAGCCAATTTTGTGATAGCCACTCGCTCATGAATTGTTGATGTTCAGCTAAAGAACGTGTACTTTCCGGGTCGGGAGTCTGCACCACGTCCATGGTCTCTGTGGTGCCTGTTCTTGAGGGCATTCCAAGTCTATGCATCGAGCTTTCTATTTCTCCTCCTTACCGGACGGGTCCTCGTGGAGTATGTCCGTGAGATGCAGAGAACACGTTCAGACGATGGATTTGGTGATGGTCATGGCGACATTATTGCCATCCTTAGGGACCATGTACTGCATTTTTCGTGGTGAGTGAATGCGGTTATCTTACCTTGAAAACATTCTTACCATTACTTTCAGCTATCTCATATTGAGCGTCATGCAGGTTGCTACTATATCTGCAAATGTAAGCATTGTCCTGTCGATACTTTTACCAATGACTACAGCATGATGAACCACAGGGTGATACTGACGGGAGCCGGTGGTATAGAAGCATTGCAACATTCTTCGTCACCATCCAGCAATGTGTCCTGGTTCCTCGACTGGTCATCAGTACTCGAGAATATTTCTCTCAGCTCGATTATGTATCGGACAGAGTGACAGACCTCGATGCCATGGCATTCGCATATAACCCCAATGTAAATACGTAGACTTCGTCTGTTTGAACGAACTGCGAAAGCAACCTTGATGTTTTGCTTGTCATCAAAACGCATATTGCTCGGAAAACTACATAGGCGTCGCTAAGTACTACCTATCTCACTCACTTTCCAATACAAACATGATACAAGCATAACGCCGGGCAACCAAAGTATCTATTCTGCAATGTCCGAGCCAACGTCTGTCTGGATGGGGGAAATGACCTGGATATTAACCTCATGATTCCGAGCCTACAATGTGGTCACATCAGACCGTTCCTCTGTTCAAACGAAGAGCACGCACCCGTGTCACAGTAAGCCGATCCTGTTCCAAGAATATCCTGGAGCCAGCTGTCGGGAATGGCGTACGACATACCGTTGCAATGTATGCACGATTCGAGACGATGTCTTCACCAAAGGAGTCAATGATCCGACCCGGCTTGCAAATGCGAAGACCCGGTGAGTCAGGATCGTTGGCACATTCCGAACGAGCAATGACTCGCTTATTGAAGTCCCAAATATGCACATAGAAGTAACCCTCACTGGAGAGCCCTTCCAGCCTTTGACCAGGATTCGGGATATGATCTTGGGGAAGAGCATAGGCCATCTTGTTGCCAAACACGCTGATATGGTAGCTTTCGTGGTGCGGAAAGTAGCACGCATACTGAGGTCCCCAATCTGACCAGGGAATCTCGACGACCATGTCTGGGCGCAGGGCCATGTCAGAGAAGATGGCCATATCGATGACTAGGATAGCTTTCTCCGCTTCGGGAAGAAACTCTAAAACCATAATCTGTGACTCCAGGGAGGGCACATAACTCGGCATGAGTCCTGGGCGTGCCGCTTTGCCATGCAGTGATGGGTGGCCATGAATCCTGACCTGGGAGTTGTACAATGATAGATGCAAGATCTTGGGCAGGTGAAATATTCGGCACTGAGGCGACTCATCGAGCCCTTGTAACGTGTACAAGTACATCAAGCCTTCTGGGCCAATGATGACAAGCTTCTGTTCATCAACTAGATAGAACAGATCTAACTCGCAGATATCCAGTTGACATAGAAAATGCTGCTTATGCTGAGTAGAAGATTTTTCGCAAGCAGAGAGAACTTACCCTATTCACATATCCCTTCCTCCAATTGATCACTTGTATGAACATGCCGGACGTAGGCTCAGGATGGCAGGAATCCGTGTCCTCTATGTAATAGAGGATAAACACGCGATCACCACATATTACAGGTGGTGACAAATCAGCACGGTAATAGCTAGGTGCACCAAAGGTATGCTTGCACTCCAAGGAAGTGCATGCAGCACTCAGGTGTGGACGCTGGGATGAAGCCAGTCGGAACTCCACCCAACAGACATGGTAATCTTGTTTTGCATTGGTCACATTGACACGATAAGGATGCTCTGAACACACAACTATAAGATCCTGCAGAGCGTCGAAGGTAGTAAGAGAGCTCCCGACATCACCGGCGATAGACCATGTCTGGGAGAGTGTAGGATTCGGGTCACAACCCTGGATGTAGAATTTGTTTTCGCGCAGCGAGTGTGACCACCAAAGCCCACACTTCACATCTTGGATCGGTAACATGCGTCCCCATGTGGCAGCAGTAGTGACTACTGTTTCAAAGGTAGTGGTCGCATGGAAGTCAGATCGCCACAAAGATGCCAGTTTCTTGAGCGAACACAGAGTCTTTTTGGAAACGCCGGTCGAATTCATGGTAACGGTTCCGGTACTAATCAATCCTTGAGCATAGATTTCAAGCTTGTATTGAATGTAGACAGAATTCTGGACCACCAGCCAAAAGATATTGCAGGTCTAGTATGATCAAACATTAGTCATGGAGGAAATCGTAGAATTACGGGGAAAAGCAAACCATTGCACACCGACTGATATCCCTGGGGTGAAGAAGGATTAGAATGTGACATATGAGCTCCGTAGGAAGCGACAAGAATCCGACCGCCATAGTCATGGTTGTAGGATTGAAGTGAGGACTTCGAATTTGAAAAATTTAGGAGGCCTCTCCTCTCGGAATCTAGGGTCATTACGCCACTAATGACTAAAGCCTTAGGGGGACAAAATCGCATGGAAGGTAGGAGCAACAAAATAAATTTCGTCTGAAAACAGGCGAGCTCGTCAAGTGAACCTGAGTAGTAAGTTAGTACTAGTACACTTGCACATAATTCCATCAAGCACAATTCCGTACCCCCGCGCAATTAAGTAAGCAACCAGGGTCAGTTGTGAATCGTGACCCATAATGAAAGCGGTTCAGAGTGGAAGGAATTCTACGGCCTTCAAATTTCGTAAATTTGATCTCTGCTTGCCATGGAGGGGTGGCTGCAAGGCCACACACTTTGATAAAGGTAAGCAGTACTGGAAGAATATCATAATTCTGACTGCAGGTTCAGGCTCCGAGTCAACCTTAGAAAACATAGATTATTATGTAATACAATGCTTGCTTGTCAATTTTGCGAGGCACGACTTCCGAGAATCCGAGTCCTTCCCATGAGCAGTACTCATGCATGCATATATGTTGACCATGGTTCTCCATACCCAGTTACATACAAAAGAACCACGAAATTTTGTGAGCGACAAACTGTAAGCTCTCCCAGGTGTGAACATCCCTAATGCTAGAAATGTGTGAATTTACTATGTAATACTTCGAGTGTAGGCACAATCATCATCCTGAGTCTCTGCTTTGTCCGAGTCATAGCTTCGGCTCTCCCATCATGCATCATGCTCCAGCGTGTGCAGATGCCAAGGCCACATCGAGGAGGAAGCCCAGGTGCGTGATGGCGGCTGCTCCTTTTGCTGCATTCAATGGATATACGAATTTGTCAACTGTGAATAGCGGGTTAACTGATACTTGGCAGGCCGTGACTGCATGTGACGAGGCAAGCTCGCATACAAACGTGATTCACTCAAGTTGGATAGTTGCGATGGCTCGCCAATACGAGCGATAGCCTGGTCTGCAGGAGGTGAGTACTTTCGTTAATCAGTTATTGAAGACGTTACTATTAACAACTTGCGAGGCACGACTTCCTTCTCATGAGCAGTATCTGCTTGCATGTATGTTGACCATGGTTCTCCATACCCGGTTACATACAAAAGAACCACAAAATCTTGTGAGCGACAAACCGTAAGCTCTCCCAGGTGTGAACGTCGCTAATGCTTAATGCGTCGGGGGTACCCGCAATGCCACACGTTCAGGGATGCTCGATTCTAAAATGACTTTGTCGCTCGAAAGTCGTAATGGAGCATCCCTCTTATACGCATGCAGTATCACACACGTACGCACCCCGTGTTTTTCTCACATCATGTTCAAACCTCGCCTAGTAGTGAAAGCAGACTGAAGTCGCAAGTTCCCGATGGGCGCCAAGACGCTTCTGTCAAGGTTATAAAGTGGAACTTGCGAAGGGCAGTCTGAAAGGAACCCTCCACATTAATGTCTCAGCGAATCCTGTCAGAATTCGACATCGTTTTTGCTGGAGGTGAGCAGATATAATCCTGTAGTGGTTTGCCCTCTTAAGCTACGCATTTTTCTGTATAGGTGGTGCTACAGCCTGTGTTGTCGCAGGTCGCTTGGCTGCATATGATCCCTCGCTCAGGATCTTGATTCTGGAAGCGGGTCAACACACCCTCAATAAACCTATACATATCCAACCATACCAATATCCCCTCAACCAAGCACCGACGAGCACCACGGTCACATTCCACAGGGGAAATCCATCTCCTCGTCTCAACGGCCGTGCGCCGATCGTTCCTTCCGGTCGTTGCGTTGGTGGAGCCTCATGTGTGAATTGTGCGTAGCATACTTGCAATGACAGTGAACGATAATCTAATAATGAGATAGTTATGGCATATACCCGTGCACCTGCTTCGGACTTTGATGATTGGGGAGTCGATGGTTGGGAATCTGAAAATTTGATTCCCCTCATGAAGAAGGTCTCAAATTTGTTTTCAGGACATTCGTTCGAATTACTTATACGTTCGCTTTATAGCTGGAGACATATGAGATGCAGCCCAATCGTCCAACTCACGGATATGACGGGCCTATCAAAGTTTCATCTGGTGGGTGTAAGTTGGGTATCGCCGACGAATTCATCCAGGTTGGCACGACCTATCACAAGAGGCAGTATGCCGACGACACCGATGATCTGGAAACATGCAATACATACAGTGTAAGTTACGATGCTTCTTTCCTACCTGCGACAACTAACCAGATCTATCTCAGCCATGGCGGAAGTGAGTTCCTGCACTCCTAGGCAATTGCGAAATCTTAGCTCATGTACACAAGATACATCAACGGAACAACCGGAAGGCGTTCTGACGCAGCTCACCACTATGTCTACAACCAAGCTCACAACCTGAATTTACAAGTCTGGGACGGAAAGCGCGTGAAGCGCATCATATTCGAGTAAGTGGCCATCTGAGATCGCAACACCAGCAAACGGTTGATGTTTTTTTTTCCAAATGAAAGAGACAAGCGTGCTGTAGGTGTCGAGTTCGCCAGTGACCCGGTGTCTTTCCCAGATGCGGATCAGTCGTCGAGTATTGTAAGAGCATCAAAACTGGTTGTCATTTCTGCTGGGGTATTCGGCTCCCCGACCATTCTGGAGAGGTCTGGCATCGGTGCCGAGGCGATCCTCAAGCGATGCGGTATCGAGCAGCTGGTGAATTTGCCTGGTGTCGGAGAGAATTATCAAGGTGCGCTTTCAAGTTATCCCGAGAGCTTGCTTGGCTTAGGACGGTCAGATCACAATCTCGTCTTTGTTCCATACTTGGCTGCTGACGAGGCCGTCACCATGGACGCCCTCTGGCGTGGTGACAGTATCTTGCAGGGTAAGCATGCTTCATCCCACGATTGCAGCACTTCACAACCACTCAAATGCAGAAAGCCTTGCGGAATGGAACAGCAGCGGCAAGTCGTTGATTGCACAAAAGTCAGTGCAAGTTATTATCATCACTGCTGGCATCGTGCTGATTGGAATCTCAGCGGCCTCGATGCAAAAATCAAGTGGCGTCCTGATGACGAGGAGTTGAAAGCCATGGATTCAGCTTTTCAACCGCGCTGGAAGGAGTTCTTCCAGGACCGGCCAGACAAGGCTGTTGCAATATTTTGTATTTTTGCAGGGTGTGTGCGCATTGCTTTGATGATATGACAATGCTCATGGCAGCCAGACACGTTCAACCGCTCTCGAGGCCGCTTGTTCTTCCTCCTCGCAAGTACATGTGTACTGGGTATTATACAGTATTGCTTTTCATCTACCCTGTGATTCTTTTGTTAACATTTTAAATAGCTTTACCCCGTGTCTGTTGGAAGCGTTCATATCAACGTGACAGAGGACGGAAAAGAAGAAATGGACTTTACTACAGGCTTCCTAGATGAGTGAGTGGAC